AGCTGTCTCTTACTATCTACCTGGTTAAGCAGGTTTGGTAAACTGGTGAGCAGATATCTGGAACAGGGATGGAATATACTTTAGACGTAAAAGTCACCATAGCATGAAGATTTTTTGCTGCTCACTGCCAAGTGCATTCTTTTATTAAACGGTATCAAATACTTTTGTCTTCAAGGGGAAATAAATTAATCACATATATTCTGGAAGGAGGCATTAACTATGTAAGGCATCAAGCTTTTTTCAGATAACACAGTTTGTTTGAGTGCAGGGTGCTGCAAATAGAATATATCAGAACTCATTGCATCAAGCCAACAATCAATGTGAAGTGAAAAGATTTTGCAGTTACTCGATATTTCCATTATGTCTGACCATAGAATATAGAACTTGCAGGTGAAGGGTTATCAAAGAAAAAAATCAATGACATCACTGTGTTGCAGTTCATACAATCTGCAATTTTTGGGAAAAATAACACAGCCCTTGGAAAATCTAGAATAATTAGGCAACTGAAGTATTGAGAAACCTCTCAAAGTCGAAGTGTCTCGTAGTCTGTGTGTCTGAACAGCTGTTTGTGGGTCCTTGGTGTTGCCATCACCTCTGTTTGTACCTGAAAGACATGGGTTGTACCCAAAAGGGCCCATTTTCTGTGGAATGCTTTAAGTGGTATGCCCCATGGGATAGCAGTTCCTAACTCTATACTTGATGGGCCTCACACACAATGTGTGTTTTGCTACTTCGACAGGCAAATTTCTTCTTCATCCGCAGGAAAGTACTAAGTTGATACTTGCTCTCCTTCCAAGCATTTGTCCATGTGCAGTATGGTCCAGTTAAGGGCATTCTTCTTTCATGCACCTCTTGCCCACGGTCAACACGTCTGCATTAAAAGGCACTTTTTTCCCCTGTGCCCTTATGAACAATCAGTCCACTTTTTTGCCATCCCCCCACTGTCTCATTCTGCAGTGAACTGTAACCTTTTGGAACTACTGCCATTCCCTATTCATAAGTATATGATCTCTCTATCACAGCCTTTCAGCTATAGCCTATCCAATTTATGGGGAATGCTCGCGATTGCAAACTTGACAGTCACTCCGTAGAAATATTGGATAAGGTGAACCTACTTCAGGATTTAGCTTTATCCTGATTTTTCCACCTTGCTAAATGCAAAGTGAGTATTCTTTGCTCACAAACATCCCATGTTTTTTAGTCCTGATAATGTTTGACAACCTGATATGTTGTGAGTGTATTTGTTAATTTCCTTTCTCAATGGATAAACATCAAAGGGGTGCAATTTTTTTTCTGGGACAGAGTTACTGTGGTTCATTATTGATTTTTGAAAAGAGAAGGTTGGCCATTCAGTAAAGGAGCAGGCAAGGAACTTTATTTAGATCATTCATCTTCATCGAGGACTACTAAGAGAATTAACAAAGGATTGTACCCTTTTGATTATATTCCATCATCTTTATTCTTTACGTTGCGAGTCTGTAGAGTGAAGCTGAAGTAAGTGTCTATTACTTTTCAAAGTATAGCAAGTCATGATGATCTTGTGACTTAAATAGAGTAGTTGAGTTTCTTTTGTCATCTAGCTTTTTGGGCGATGAGATAGTGGACTGAATTTTACAAAAATCACCTAAACTTCTATTTCGGAGCATCTCACAGAGGGATTCTCTCAATGGGCTCAAGCAAGTTACCTCTCACAATTCGTTCTTACTCATTTTGTTATGAATGCACCAGGACCCTCAATGGAGCCAGTATCGCAATATCTTGTGCTCACCCATGGCAGAGAATGTTGGAACCTCCAGGATTCCCACCACTGATGCTCCGGTAAATCACTACAAGCCATGAAATAGACTAGCACAATGCACGCTGTGGAAGGAAAACAAAACCAAACACCTTGTACAGGTACATAGTAGGCAGAGATAACATTGGAATCAGAGGCTCATATTAGTAGCTATATTGCTCCTTTACATCATCACCTGTTTGATCATGTGTCTGTAGTTACAAGAATCAAGCTATACAGACCGCCAAACCTTAGCATCATACCGAGCTAGAACTCTATATAAAGGGAGTGCTACTCTTTCCCAATTGCCTAGCAGTAGTGTGACAACATCTCATTGTTCAATATGGGAGCATTACATGTTGCAAACCCTTTGAAGAGTTGAATGTGTTAAAAATTACTAAACAGCAGGAAACTGAAGAAAAAAATGCATGAAAATAAGCAGTAATTACTGCTAAAAATGGACTGGGGCTCCTTGAAATTTGAGCAACAACAAATTTAGTCATTGAATGATCCCTTCAGCCTGTTCAGATCTAGTGGAAGCAGAAATTGATTGAAACCTGCCTGGCTTGCTGTGCCTGATGCTGCGCTACTCTATCATGGTGAAGGTAATGCTCCTCCTAATCAATGTCCTTATTTGTCTCCTTGAAAGACTGGCTTGCTTCTCCGCTATTCAGCCTCCATCACATCCTCTCTACATTACTAAAAGCAAAATACAGCAAATAGACAACGGTATTACAATGGTAGAGATTGGAGCAGTGCAAGGTGCAGTACAGAGTGGAGAACTGTATTTTAAGCAGATCAGGGATGTGCCCTGTTGATGTAGTGACACTGGTGTGTGTCCGATGCCAATCTCCATAGCCAGTGGGTGGGCAGAGAGAGAATGTGTAGGTCATAAGATCAAACAGCTTCAATAGAATATGGGAAACACTGCTAGTTTCACTACTATGTAATTCTGCACTCTTTCCATTTAGATTCCATTTAGTACTGTGTGAATTTGGGTCCTGGCCAGTCATCACCTCGAAGCAAATTCAGGTCCTAACATAGGCTTGCTTTGAGGGTGGTGGCTTTGGTATTTAGTTGTGTGTAATATGCTTAGAGCAGTTTCCTACTGTAGCAGCCTTTTATCTTCTTGCGAAGTCTCTCCATTACAGAAACTAGGACTGTGTACCAGCCAATCCATAGTTTAACGGTTGATTTGATAGAGGTTTTCAGGCTATTAAGCAGAACTGATAGGTTCAACAAAGAAAACCAATTTCCATTGGCTAAGGATATAAAGTACAAAGTTTAGAACACTTCCACAAATGTCATCTGATGTAAGGTTAATTTTAAATTTAAATTGTGAAATTGTAAGATTATCGATAAACAAGCTATTTGCTTTGAGAGAACCAAGCTGTGACCATGCTGTAGATATGTGTATAGATTGTGTTTCTCTCATAGACTGAAACCTACATGTTTGTCCCTGTATGGATTCTGTACTCGCTAGGGTGTTAGATGTCCTGCACTATTGGCTGCAGAGTTTGGCTAGACCTCTCCTGCTGCGTCCGTTACACCTCTAGCGTGTTCTTAACTTATAACAAGTCTCTCTTATGCTGTGTTCCTATAAACCTTTATTTGTGCTACGATGGACTTTATACTGAAAGCTCTGTAATATGTTTCTCTGTTGCTTGTCCTCAAATTTTGATGACATTTTTTTTGCTCTGCTTAGTTAATTTCCCATTATGCTGCATTATTAAGGGATATGGGGCAAAGGTTGTTGTATAGAGTTGGGTCACAGGACAATCATGACCCTGTTTTTAATTCTTGATGGGTTAAATAACCAACTCCTGTTCCTCTAATCTTGTATAAACCTGACTCCACCTTTTGACTGTTTCAGTTATTACTGGAACATTGATGTTTGCAGCTCTCTCAGTCTTGCATTAAGATCCAGTAAGTTAAACACTGTCCCTTTGTCCGACTGGTCAGGAAAATAGTGCTCCACCATCAACTTGCAACAATACTTCTTTTCGATAAGTATGCACTGAGTTAGTTCCAGTTAGTTTAAAAACTAACCTAATATTTCGAAGTTATTCATCCACAGAGAAGAAAGAACTCACGTTTACAAAGTACCTCAACATGTTCTCAACATGTCCCAAAGCACATCCAATAAATTGCTTTTCAAATATATTTATAGCGTGAGCAAATGTTATTGCAATGTGATGGTGCAGCTTTTAAACACTGTAATTATTGTTACGGTGCATGCTATACCGAAGATTGAACAGAGAATAAGGATTTTTGCTATTCAATAAATGGGAACCATTCTTTGTACCTTTTTCCATGCAGTTCTTTATCTCAGATGATGCTCCAAAGAAAACAACAGCAGCCTATCCAAACCTTTTTGGAGCTAAAATTCAAATATTGAAATTAAGAGCAGGAGTAGACCACGTGGCTCCTCAACCCAGCCACACCATTCAGTAAGATCATGGTCGTAACTCCACTTCCCTGCCTAGCTCCAATACACTCTGATTCCCTTCTCAGTCGAGAATCTATGTAACTCTGCCTTTAAAATACTTGGCGACACTGCCTTCACTCCAGGAAACAGAGTTCCCCCACTGTCTGTCGTCTCAGAGGAAAAAAAAGTCCTACTTTCCATTGCTGGCAATATCCTCATATATCATGTCTGTACCCTTTCCAGAAGCTAGTTCATTATTTAAATTTGATGCCACTGTCAATCTGAAGCACTTTGAACAAAAGTCGGGTGGCGCGGTGGCACAGTAGTTAGCACTGCTGCCTCACAGCACCAGGGACCTGGGTTCAATTCCACCTTCGGGTGATTGTCTGTGTGAAGTTTGCACATTCTCCCCGTGTCTGCATGGGTTTGCTCTGGTTTCCTCCCACAGTCCGAAGATGTGCAGGCTAGGTGGATTGGCCATGCTAAATTACCCATAGTGAACAGGGATGTGTAGATTAGGTGGGTTATAGGGGAATGGGTTTGGGTGGGTGCTCTGAGGTTCAGTGTGGACTTGTTGGGCCAAAGGGCTTGTTTCTACACTGTAGGGATAAAAAATGAGTCTTTTCCAAACCGTTTTTGACGTGGTACTAATGTCGTGTGAATAATTAGCTAACATTATTGCCTGTCTGAAGTAGTGTGGGATCACACTCCATTTAATGTATTCTGAAGTAATAATTGAGACAGGTTATAAATAGAACATTGGATCTAAATCTCTATATTTTACCCGTTTCCTTGCAGTGTTTACATCAGTGAGCCTCTATCTTCTTCCAGAACGGCCAGCTACCCTGATGCTATACGACGATGTGGTGCAAATCCTATTGGGATCACCGGGTAAGTGAGGAAATGTGAACTGTCTATAACTGCACCGTGACAAAACGTTTGGCGATCGTGAGAAATCCAACTGCACACATTGTCATTGGCTTGCAAATAATCATTTCTGAATTTGAAGCTTGATTGAACAGATGGGAAAGAGACAATGAAATTCTCACCTCAAGCTATGTGCGTTGTCATTTGAATTTGGCCACATTTTCTTGGCAATGTAAGTGAGCATGGTTATCTGATGGTAATGTTATCTGAAATAGAAGTAGAAAAATGCTCAAAACTCTCAGCACATTCGCCCATGTGAAAGGACAGAAATGAAGTTCTGAGGGTAGAATTTAATGTGGGCAAAGAGATCTTGTATCCCGGTTATAAAGCCAGCCAGAAACCCATTATTGTGTACGTTGGGAAGGCCCATAGCACCAAGTGAGATTCTTAACTGGGCAGCAATAAGCCTTCCCTGTGACTTATGACTCCAGTGCTGAGATTCTGATGACATCTGCCAGCCAATCAGAATTGAATAGCGGTAATGGTGGGATGAGGACTTTAAAAGAACGTTAATTCGCCAAGTGCATTCAGCAGTTGGCATTGGCATGGTAAGGCTGTGCACTAATGTTCCTGCCTGGCAGTAATAAGGGCCTGACCACTAAATGCATATGGGAGGGCATTAAATTTACTCTTCAGATCAGTGGCATTTCATCAGAAATGAGAGATGTTCAAGATGAACAGAAGCAAACCACTGCAGACATTAGTAACGGACAGTTTTTACACTAGTGCTGAGTCAGTGAAAAAACAGACAAGCACAAAAGGGAAATAAAGTAGAGGGAAGAATGGTGAAATGACAAGATGGATTAATGTACAAGACAAGCAGGGGCGATAATGTGTCATGTGTAGAAACAAATAATGGGCCCAGTATTGCTGTAAATGGTTTCAGCAGAATAACAGCACAATCACAGTTCTTCATATGGTTGTTTCATATGATATCTATTGGATAACCCAGATGTAAAATCCTAAGGAGCAATGCAGCCATTCACAATTTCCTCAACCTCTGAATTCCTCTTGCTGTTTGATATGGTATTGGTACAGCATTCTGAAATGATGGGTATACATCAATGTGACATGTCCGTGTTCAAGGTATCCCTGGAGAGTAACCACTAGATCCTATTGCAATTCATAATTACAAGGATAAGAAAATATGAGCAATGTCGTTCATTCCATCTAGCTTGTTCTCAAGGGACAGTAAGGCTGACTTTTTTGAAAGGTACAGTAGTGTGTGTAAGATCATCTATTATATTTTACATCTTAACTGTGTAGTATTCCTCGGTCAGGATATACCAAGAAAAAGACGGAAGGATGTAGGCTTGGTAGAGGTGAGGGATAAATGTGGAACACTTGGTAATTTGAGCTATTCACTTGGCATGTGGCATTCTCGACTAGCCTTGATATGACAAGTTTCTTGAAATAAATTGCCTTCTGCATCTGCTTCTGGATCCTGCAAGCACTATAAACTGTGGACTGGATTTTAGAGCTCAGCTGAATAGCTAATCGGTTAGGCATCATGCACTAAACACAAAAAACCCCGAAGAACTGCAGATGCTGGAAATCAAAAACAAAAACAAACTGCTGTGAAAAACCAGCAGTTAATGAAACATTAACCCTGCCGTCTCTCCACAGATGCTGAGTTTTCCCAGCAATTTCTATTTTGTTTTGGTTAGGAGTCACATCAGGGTGGGGGAATGTAAATTGTAATGGTTAATGGGCCTGTCTCTTATGGATCTGCCCCTAACCCCCTCTGCAATAATATGTTACAGGAGGGGAACACTGGGTGGCTTGAATCCCCTCCGACTCTCTCACCCCAGCCTTAGGAAAGTCAGGTAACCAATTAATAACCAGGTAAAGGTCAAATTTCCACCAGTTACCCACAGTGGACAGAAATCCATGTCATATGTGAAGCACGACAGCTTTAAATATGTTTGCCGGTTGTGGACACGTGAGGGAATTCACACATTTCGGGGCTTCAATAGCCACCTTGCTAAGGGCATTCCTACTCTTAGAGTCATACAGCACAGGAATAGACCCTTCGTCACAATTCTTACATGCTGTCCATCATCCCAAACTAAACTAGTCCCACCTGCTTGTGCTTGGTCGTATCCCTCCAAATAGTTCTTATTCATGTATTTATCTAAAGGTCTTTTAAATGTTGTAAGTGTACCAGAATCCACAACTTCCCCTGGAACTTCATTCCATACATGACCCACTCTCTGTGTTTAAAAAAAAATTGCCCCCATGTCTCTCCTTTCACCTTAAAAATATGCCCCCTGGTCTTGAACTCCCCACTCTAGGGAAAAGACCTTTGCCATTCACCTTATCAATGTTCTCTGTGATCTTATAAACCTCGATAAGGTCACCCCTCAGCCTCCGAAGTTTTCTGGTGAAAAAAGGTCCCAGCCTATCCAGTGTCTCCTTAAAACTCAAACCCTCCATTTCCGGCAACATCTTAGCCAATCTGGACTCCAGCCTGACAATCTTGGGGGACTCCATCCCCTCAACTGTACCCCTACTAATCCCTACCAGCCTGGCCCCAGTGGTATTCCCCTTCAACCTCCATTACTTACCTCATTTAGCTCCTGGATGCTCAGTGTCCATCACTTGGTTCACAGCCATGGGCACCACTCCCAGTGAGACCAGAGAGATGCTGGCCATCCCATTGGCCGGCAGATCTATTAATGTTTCTCACAGATTTCTAGACTCTTCTCTGTTCATCAGTCCCACACCCCTCCCCCTCACCCCACCTTTCCCAAGGAGATCCCCTGCTAAAATTGGCCTCAAACTCCAATTCAGAGTCAAGGGGATCCAAATCAGATGGCACAAAGTCCACCATACCTGTTCTCATCAAAGTAGAAAATTCCATTTAACCCATCTTCATTTTCTTGTCTCTAATATGGCTGTACCTGTCAGTAAAAACAAGATTTAGTTATGGTACTTTTTGTTTTCCACAAGAGAACTGTCTGCATTAGGATGGGGCATTCCATTCTATAAAAGAGCTTTAGCTAAACAAATTCAAATCAGCAGTGTCAATTCTACATAAAGCTGTCAGGAGCTCCTCATCTTGAATGTACAAATTTGTCTCATCAATAAAACACATCAAAGTGCTGCTGAATGAACATACACTGAGCCTTCATTCAACTGTACAGTAATTTTAGGTACAGAGGCAGTAGTTCATATGTGTCATCAAAAAAACATATATAGGATTTCCTTAAACCTATATTTCCAGTCCCCTTGCAATAAAATGGATCGTTCTTCAAGTTAATTACTACACTTGCATGTTAACTTTTGGTAATTCATGTACGAGAACTGCAAGGATTTCACTGAAAAAAAAATCCACTTTTCCACTCTATCACGTTTCCCTATTTCTTTCTCTGCCACTTTTTTGTCCATTCATTTGACTGATCGATCTTTCTTTGTGGTCTCTTCACAATTCTCTTTCCCATCTGGCTTTGTATTATCAATAAACCTGGATATATTATACTGATCCTTCATTTGATGCCATTCATATAGACTATAAATAAAGTGACCCAAGCTTTTCCCTTCCAATCTAAAAATGACGCATTTATTCCTCCTCTTTCGGAGGAAGTCCAACAGCTCGATTTTTTTTTTTCTCTGTTATCCTATCCAGCTTAATTGGCCCTAACACACAAGCTTTCACTTGTGAGTCATCTTTCTGCTGTACTCCTTATGCCACTTAAAAATACTCCAAAGTCTTGGAAATTGCAGATTTTGGAAATTAGTTCTCTTTCACCTGAAACAAAAACAGAAATTGCTGGAAAATCTCAGCAGGTCTGACAGCATCTGTGAAGAGAAATTGGAGTTGAATGTTTTGGGTTCAGGGAGCCTTCCTCAATTTCTGTTTTAGTTTCTGACTTCCAGCATCCGCAATTCTTTTGATTCTCTCTTTCATCTGACTTTCCCTTAAACCCATCTAACATAATTCTAGTTTAAACAGCACCAAACACAGAAAATTGAAAAGATAGAGGCTGTTAGCTTTGGCACCTCATTTGGAATTTTGGTTTACTTTCACATCCCCTCAAGCTGCCACTGGCCATTTATTTTGAAGCATTGCGGGTATAACTCAAATATAAATTGCATATTTACGTGACAGTTGTCCCTGGATTAGGATATCATATCGCTGTGTGAAGAAGGGACATAAACATGATCCTAATTAAAATTATAAAAGCCATCCCTTACTCTGAGATGATATCCTTTGGTCCTAGACTCTCCCTGTAGGACAACAACCCTCTGCATCTACCCTGTCAATCCCCCTAAGAATCTTGGCTTTCAATCAAGGTCTCCTCTCATTCCTCTCAACTCCAATAAGGACAAACCAAACCTATTTATTTTATTTCTAATCAACCTGTTCAGAGATATTATTAAACACCTCTGGAGCAGGTGGGACTTGAGCACTACTCAACCTCTCCTCAGAAGAAAATCTCTCCATATCCAGAATCAACTTAGTGGCTCCTAACTTCGTGAATCTTTTCTGGACTGTCTCCAATGCTAAGTATATCTTCCATTAGATAAGGGAACCAAAACTGTTCAGAGTATTCTTTGTATAGTATAACTAGTGCCTTGTCTAGTTTTAGCAAGACTTTCTTATTTTTATACTGCATTTACTTTGAAATAAAGGCTAACAGTTTACTTGTCTTCGTTACTACCCACTCAACTTGGATCCTAGCTTTTTGTGATTCATGCACGAGGACTGCAAGTCCCTATATGCTGCAGCTTTCTGAAGTCTTACCCCATTTAAACAATGTTCAGTTTTCCTAGTCTTTCTGACAAAGTGCATTACCTCACATTTTCCTACATTATATTCCATCTGCCAACATTTTGCACACTCGTTTAAGCAGTCTGTATCCCTCTGCAGACTCCTTATATCATCCTCATTGCTAGCCTTCCAACCTATTTTTATATCACCCGCAAACCTGGTGGCAGTACATTCACTTCTTCCATCCAAATCATTAAATATGTTACATGTAATTGCAGCCCCAGCACTGTTCTTTGTGTCATAGAATCATTGAGTCATACAGTCCTACGGCATGGAAACAGACCCTTCAGTCCAACTAAGTCCCTTCAGTCCATGCCAACCACGTTTCCGAGCTAAACTAGTCCCACTTGCCTGTGCTTGGCTCATATGCCTCCAAACCTTTCCTAGTTATGAACTTATCAAATGTTTCTTTTAAATGTTGTGACTGTATGTGCATCCACCATTTTCTTTGGCTGTTCATTCCACACACGACCCACTCACTGTGTTTTAAAAAAAAAAGTTGGCCCTTATGTTCTTTCTAAATCTTTCTCCTCTCACTTAAGAATATGCCCCTAGTTTTGAACACCCCCACATTAGGGAAAAGTCCATTGTCATTCACCTTATCTGTGCACCTCATGATTTTATAAACTTAGAAGGTCACCACTCAATTTTCTATGCTCCAGTGAAAAAAGTCCCAACCTATCCAGCCTAGTTTTGTAACTGAAACCTCCATTCCTGGCAACATCCTGATGAATCTTAAATCTAGTACTAGAATGACCCCATGGCTATGAAAATGCATACTTTGATCATCGTTGATGTTGAGTTATCTAATTTCCAGCATTAAAGTGGCTGCACTGTACAATTAATCTGAATTCCTGGCTGGAGAGGAGCGAAAGCTGTTGGGGATCCTATGTGAGATAACAAGGTGTGGAGCTGGAGGAACACAGCAGGTCAGGCAGCATCAGAGGGGCAGGAAAGCTGATGTTTCGTGTCGGGACCTGGGTCCTGACCCAAAACGTCAGCTTTCCTGCTCCTCTGATGCTGCCTAGCTTGCTGTGTTCCTCCAGCTCCACGCTGTGTTACCTTTGACTCCAGCATCAGCAGTTCTTACTATCTGAGGGATCCTATGTGTATGTGTTTGGACTCATACAGGTTTAGCTACAAAGCTCAACACCCTATGGTGATTGACATTGGTGATATAGCTTCCTGGACGAATTGGAGGGGGTGAACACAGGAATAAGAGCAAATCATTTAGCTCCTTGAGTCAGATCTGCCACTCATTAGACCATAGCTGAGTGTCTCAACACCACCTACCCACCTTTGCTTTGTAAGTCTGAATATGCATTCCTCACAAAAATCAATCCATCTCAACTACCAAGTTTGAATGGATCAAGTCCTTTTGGAGAAAAGAGTTCAAATTTTCACGAATCTTGTTTTGAAGAATTATTTCACCCTGAACAACTGAGCTTAAAATGTTATGGTCCTTTATTCTAGGCTCCCCAGTCAGCAGAAATCATTTCTTTCGAACATCTCTGTTCAACTCCTTTTGATCAGTTTAAAAAGCTCAGTTATATCACCCAGTGTAACTCTAACCTGTTGCTCCATTCAGGATAACAGGAGTGAAATGGGGAAAAGCTGAAGTTTGCCAACTACCTGGAACATGCCAATGTAAAACAATGACATGATTGTATTGATGTTACTTGCAAGTGGGAGGAGAGAGCAGCATGTCCTTGAATGACGCAAAATTGTTAAATGATTACAGATGATTGCTGTTTCCGAGAATTGTTGCCCTTTTCGTGGGTTGCCGCCATTGTAGAGGAGGAGGTTGGAAGGGAGCGGTGGGTGCAGTATTGTCTACGAGACAAATGACACAAGACAAAGCAGGCAAACAAAAGTGCCTGAGGCGACTTGATGTGAGTGTCTCCCTGCATATAAGACCTGATGTGCTGGGGGCACACCGGGAATGTGCGGTTGGGGAAAGAAGTATGCACAACAGCATGAAGCTTTCTGTTATCAGGCCATCATGACTGACTAAAGCTAGAGCACAGATGCTGCAATTCAATGGGTTGTTCAGAAAAAGGTTTTTAATTGCAGTCTGTCTGACTCTGTCTGGACCGAGTTGAGAGCAGAGAGTCTTGACTGTGACTCATTGTCTATGTAATCTCTCTCTCGAGCAGTGTCAGGGATAGGTTCTGCCATAAAAAATCAATATCAAAGATGCAGCTCAAACACAAAGAGAAAAAGGAATAATGAAGTTTTGTTTGGAAGAAAAGCTCTGCATAATATAACTGGCTCAACTTTCTCTTTCTGAAACAGGACTTTGCAGCTGTAGGAACCCAGCTGTGATCAAACTGGTAGATTCCTGATATCATGAATTACCTCTTTGCTGTATTAAGTCAGGGAAATGAATGGCATTGTGATAATCACAACTATGGCCCTGTAATCTAGAGAGGCAAGCTAATGTGCTAAGGACACGGGTTCAAATGGCACCTAGTGGAGTTTAAATTCAATTAATTTGTCCCAGAAAAATCTGGAAGAAAGGCTATCTTCAGTAATAGTGAAATCCTCACTGACTGTCACAAAAAGTCTCATCACCCATGTCCTTTAGAGAAATAATTTTTCCATCCTTCCTTCCTGACCCCAGATCTACAGCAATGTGGCTGGCACTTAACTGCCTTCAAATGCAAAGATTAAAAAATAGTTGACCCCAAAATTAAGGAGAATATTAGTTATGGAGCAAAATAAGATTACTTGAAAATAATTAGAAGGTAGTGGCTTCACTAAGGTTAAAGATGCCATTAAAGAAAAAGCAGGGACAAAACAATGTAAAATTAATACCTGAACCATGAGTGATATTGCAGTCACTGCCTTGTTGCCAGTTTTGCTTGTATGTATATGGGTTATTTTTTGTTCTTTGTTAAGGAATTGGATACTTTACGCTTCAAGTAGTTCCAGTGTCTGCATCAAAACGTATTTTAGATTAGAAATAGCCTAGCCAAATGCGGACTAGGACTTTTCCTGATATATTGATCTGGACTTATGAGGAACAATCTCAATTTGCAGATGGCACAAAGCTTGGAAATATTGTGAACTTGTGAGAAGGATTGTGATAATATTTAAGATGACATTGACTAGCTGATGTGACAAGTGACAGATGAAATACAATTCAGGGAAGTGTGAAGTTGCACACAGGAGGTAATATTATAAAAAATGGATACAATTCTAAAGAAAGTGCAATGTCATAGGGATCAGGTCATTGAAGGAGGTGTTAGGATGAGATAGAAGTAATGAAGCATTGGAATCCTGGACTTTAAGAAGAGAGATATAGAGCATAAAAGCCATGATATGAAGATATACTTGTGTAAAACATTTGTTCAGTTTCAAATGGGGGTATTGTGTCCAGTTCTGGGAGCCACACTTAAGGGAAGATATGAAGCTGGCAAAGAGGGTCAGAAAAGTTTCAATACAATACTACCAGGAATGAGGAACATCAGTCACATTGATAGATTGGAGAAGCCAGAGTTGTTCTACTTTTGAGTAGAGAAGGTCGAGAGGAGATTTGATGAAGGTATTGAAAATGTGATCTGGACACAATGGGCAAGGAGAAACTATTTCCCTTGGTGGAAGGGTCAAGATCCAGAGGAGTCTGATTTAAGGTGATTATCAGCAGAAACAAAGCTGACATGAGGAAAAGGTTTTTAACACTGTGAATGCGTCAGATCTGGGATACCCCTGCTCAAGAGGCAGATTTCATAGAGACCTCCAAATGAGAACTGGGCAATTATCTGAAAAGAAAACATTCACAGAGCTACAAGGATAGAGGGTCAGGAGTAAGACTAGATGGCTTGCTCTTCCAGAAAGCAATCACATTATTACAGGCCAAATGGCATCTTTCTGTGGTTTTACCATGCTACGATTCCTTGATCTGTCCCAACAGCTACACGCACTGATAGAATAAGGAGGAGGGCTGAAGTAGAGTGGCATACTGGTTTGGCACACTGGTAATCTCAGCAAATAGTTACCTTTTACCACTGGCTGTGGCTTCTCATTGTGTTAGCCTGACTCACTTCACTGCTGCTGTTCCACTTTATTGACACTGGATTTGTGGAGTTGGGGACATGGCAAGTCGAGCCTGTTGTATTTAACCTGGGTCAGAGTTACACTGGCCTGGATCTCACTCTCATGAGCTAATGTGAGCTTTCGTTCTCCTCACTGACCCCATGTTGGCAGCTCTTGTAGAGTTAAAATCACATTTAGGAACAGACCTTTTGTACAGAACTTCCCTCTTCCCTGATATGAATTTCCACATCATTGCACCATGGATGATTACTTGTGTACATTGCATTTTCTTTCAAATTATGACAGCATGACAAATCCTCTGCAAAATACGTCTAAGCATCAACTGTAAAGCATAAAAGGTGGAAAAGAAAATAGCAGCAGCATAATCTCCTTTGATAATATATTGGAATAAATGCTGGCTCAATGAGTTACTAGGATCAGATGATATTGTCCACTCAGTTTATTACCATCACTTGACCTCAGATTAGTTTTCTATCTGAAAGACATCAGCGCTGTCTGTGTTCAGGGCTTTCATTTGCTTGTTGTTGTTAGTTATATTTCTTTTTGTATTGTGTGTGGCTTTGCCTCACAGAATGGAGCTTTATGACTCTATTTCCCAACTTAGGGAGTTTATGATGTAAAACACCACAGATGGGGTTTTATGATGCAGTACCACACAGAGAATGTGCTGGATGGTTTCTTGTTTCCAGATGGAGGATTACAGGATGTGACCAGATTAGGGGCACTTGCGTAAAGAAAAATGACCTCGAGTGTAGATTTGCAGTTCAGATAAAGACAGTCCCCATAAATAAAGTAATAAATCCGTAGCATAAACAAAATGGACAATGGGGATGAGGGGAAATTTGTATTGTGTATCACGACATGAGGAAACTTTAGTTTTTGCAGGACACAAAGATGTAATCTTGGGAATTACATATATATTCCACAATCCCAGGAGGGAAGTGCAACCTGAGTATTTAAACCTACCATTTTGTTTCCTACCTTTGATCTCTTTAACTCACATATGATTACCCTGCTGAGAATGTTATATTGTGGAACTGTAACGTATAAAATTTCTTTTCATGTTCCCACTGATTTGCTTGAATGTCAAGTCGCTTCGTTACTCAAATGTTCAAGTTCATTCAAAAAGCATTAAAGGGTGCAACGGGCCCTTTAAAACTACTAAGTCGATAAGATAGAGAATGTAAACACACACAGGACTGATTTTCCTGGGTGTCAAATACTAGGCTGCTAAAGCTCAGGAGCTGCTTGTGGTCCAAATCTGTAGGTAAACACCTTCACTCTAAGACTTCTGTGATATGTTTTTAAGCAGTGCATCACAAGCAGGGGGGTGCAATTTTATGTTCTCTGCTGTGGTGAGTTTAACGTTCATGGAGCCAGAAGTGGCATTCAAAAAGGCTGGAAGTTGATGAATGAAGACCTGATCACCGTCCCCGCATCACCCCAAATAATTCTGATTAATGCCCACTTCATCAACTCATTCAGCCACTACTGACGCCCCCCCCCCCCCCCCAGTTCTGGGTGGAGAACCCACTATGCTGGGAGATCAACAGGCAAGCTCTGGCCGGGTTGGTCGTGGGCTCTTTGGTGGGCGGTGGGCTTCCCCATTCCAAGGTAATCAATGCCTGATTGATGGACCTAGCATTGTGAAGAGTACCCACTATGAACCAATCCCTCTGTCCTTGCTGCCCATCTTGTGACCTCGCCCCCAACCCCAATGTCAATACTAACCTGTGGTCTCGTGCTGATACTTGGCCTCTCATGGGTGTCATACCACTAACAGCCACTGCCTCACAGGGGCACTGCTGCCCAATGGAGCTGCCAACGTCTGATTAAATACCAATTTACAGAATGATGACAAGTCTAGATTGGCATGATAGAAGCCATTGACATTTGAACTACATCACTATATTTTGGCATCTCGATATACTACTATCTGTATTCATTGAAATTAGGAACTGAGCAATGTGTACAGTGAAGCTCAGTTTTGATGACACCATATGTGTTCAAATTGATGGCTTTTCCATCAGATATTTTGTAGGTCCAGTGCTTGCTAACATTTTCATCCTTTTCCATGAAAGTAATAAGGCCTCTTTCCATTTGCATATTTCTGACACATCTTTGAATCTGCAGCTGTGTATAAGAATCTCCTCACATGATGTAATATGCTCCATTCTGCACTTACATTCAGTTTTGTGATGGAGCAGTGTAACTTGCAGCCAATACTCACCATGCTTGTTGAGAAATCTATGAGTGGGGTTTTTCTGTAACTGTCTATTGTACTATAAGCTTACATTCACTGATCAGTATTGCTCCATGGGCTTTAAGAATGGCCTTAATAGCAATCTGGTAAAGATGCCCTTAGCCATTTGCCCAGCTTGCAAGTCTGTTGCAGAAGTAGAGCTCTTCAAAGCTATCCTGCTGAGCAGTAGCGTTCCTAATCAGATCATTGTTTACTATTGGAAGGATGTTGTTAAACTAGAAAGGGTACAGAAAAAAATTACAAGGATGTTGCCTGGACTGGAGGGTTTGAGTTATTGGGAGACGCTGAATAGGCTTGGGCTTTTTGCCATGGAGCGGAGGTTGAGCGTTGACCTTTGTAGAGATTTATAAAATCATTCGAGGCATGGATAGGGTCAATAGCCAAGGTCTTTTGCCTCAGGTAGGGGAATCCAAAAGTAGAGGGCACAGGTTTAATGTGAGAGAGGAAAGATTTAAAAGGGACATGAGGGGCAACTTCTTTCCTTAGGAGGTGGTGCGTATGTAGAATGAACTGCCAGAGGAAGTGGTAGATGCAGGTACAGTTACAACATTAAAAGATATTCGGACGGATACATGGATAGGGAAGGTTTAGAGGGATATGGGGCAAATGGGAGTAGTTCACTTTGAGAAATTTGGTCAGCATGGATGAGTTGGACCAAAGGATCTGTTTTAGTGCTGTACGACACTATGACTGTATAACTCTGACTTGTATCTCAAACTCTTGCAAAGGTGCCACAGGCACTATTTTTGGTCTCGGTGCTTGGTTTACCTCAATTTACCCTGGAAAGTTAACAGCTGTCATAAACGTTTCTTTCTATTGCAGCCTGAGGTCAGTTCACTCAGTATAACCCATTAATGTCCAGCTCAGTATGAGCTCAGTCCTACACATCAGCACACTTGTATCCACTGAAATATCAGTGCTTTTGTTGTTATAATAAGAAAATTAAGAAAACCTCTTTTTATTAATTGTTAACATGGGCCTGCTCTAGTAACGAAAACAGAAGTTGCTGGAAAAGCTCAGCAGGTCTGGCAGCATCTGTGAAAAGAAATCAGAGTTAACATTTCAGGTCCGATGACCCTTCCTGCCTCTAGTAGGGCTGGTATTGCTTGGCAAACTTTAGAAAATGGTGGTGTGTCTCCTTCTTGAATCACTGCCAGTGGGTTTCCGTCCTATAGTAGTGGTCAGTTAAATATTGAACAGTGTTATTGTAAAACTGGAATCACATATAGGTCAGACCAGGTAAGGATAGCAGGGTTCCTGCTCAAGAGGATATGATTGAACCATTTGGCTTGTTATGATAATCTGACAATTTTTTTTGTCGTTTACCTTTTACTCAGTGAAACTTTTGGAGACTATGAGGGAAACAGCAATTGTTGAAGTAAGTTCAATCTCCTTCGCTTCACTTTTTGTGCCATTCCATCAAAATTTGTATCAGCCCTTAAGTTTATAATCTGAGAAGAACTTTTGGACTTCAAGAACAGTGTGAAAAGTAACCCTATCAGGACATGTCATGTGTCAGCTATGGGTGCACAGTCCTGACATGAGAGAGAATGCAGTACTGTCAGAACAATTATCCACTTTCTTCCTTTGTCACTAGAAATAAAATCTGCTGTTGATTCAGCAGGAGAAAGCTGGCTGAAA